CACACACCACACACAGAGACACAACACACACAGACACACACCGCACACAGAGACTCTCACACCACACACAGAGACACTCACACAGACACACAGAGATTCGCCACACGGAGATGCACTTAGGCCCGCCCCTTCCTGAGCACATTTGGAAGCTGCCTGTTCCCGGGACAACAGTCAACACAGGCAGAAGCTTCAAACAAGCAGGTCAGCTGTGCTGGTCCATCAGCCAGAGTGACTTAGGTCCAGGGGGACGCTGAGGGGGGCACTCCGGGACAGGAGGGTGGTACCCTGGAGAGGCCTTAGCTCAGGCAGGAGCCGCTCTCTCTCTCACGTCCACATACAGCACACGCACACACACGGGTGCGCACACGCACGCACACCCTTGCACCCATGGGGAGCCGCCCTGGCCCTGGCCCCCAGAGAACCTCCTCTGCGGGGTACCGACTGCCCTCGTCCAGGCCACCAGCCATTTCCCAGGGTGGCCCCTTGGTGGCCAGGGGCCCTGCGGGGGGCCAGGAGGCTGAGCAGGTAGCCCGGGCAGCAGGCAGCGTGCAGCAGGACCGGCTGTGGCGGGAGCTTCTGGAGGCCGAGAGGCGGAGCCAGCGGCGCTGGTGAGTGGCCTGCCCGGGCCTCCTCCCGGCCCAGCCGACCCAGGGTCTGGGCAGCTTCTGGAGAGGGAGGAGGCCAGGCGCGTGCCCAGGGGCGAGGGGGAGAGGGAGCGGGGCCGGGCCAGGCAGGACCAGGCCCGGCCCAGCTCCTCCATGCCGGGACCGGCAGCCCTGTGGCAGCCACTCGGCTGGAGCTGGCCGGCTACGTGCAGGCCCTGGGGGCTCCAAAGCCCAGGGCCCTCCGAGGAGAGATGCTGCCATGCGGGGAGAGAACATCCCCCACACACTCATTCAATCCAAAGGTACCCACGAGGCCGCCCTGTCCACCCGCTGTACTGGGCAAAGGGCAGGTGGAGCTCGGTCCTCCCAGCCTCCAGGCACCAAAGCAGGCAGAGGCGCCCGGGTGGGGGTGGGGGGGCAGGCAAGCCCGAGCTGGCCCTTCCCACCGCCCAGCAGCCTCCCGGGAGCTCAGCTGTCTGGGCCTGCAATGTGAGAAGGGGCCAGGAAGACCTTGGCTGATTTCAAAACAAAACAAAGCAAAGAGGCCAGTTGTTTTCTGTAAGCAGAGACACCTGGGCTTCAGCGGGAGAGTGACCAGCCTGGCTGCTTCCTGGGGTCCGCTGAAGCGGGCTGGGCTGTGGGTGGGGGCAACTTGGGAGGCGCTGGGCAGAGCCAGAGGGCAGCTGTGCAGCTCAGCTCTGTGGTGGACAGGGAGGTGGAGGAGGAATTCCAGGAATGCGTTGGTGGGAGGATCACTGCCGTCTTGGCGTGAGAGGGGCGTGAGGACGGGCGTGGTCCGGGGCGTGAGGACGGGCGTGGTCCGGGGCGTGGTCCGTGTGTGCTGTGTCCGGGCTGTGACACAGGCTGCGTGTGCACGGTGTGTTCTGTACGTGTGAGGTGTGTCGAGTCCGCGGTGTGTGGCGTGTGTGCCCGTGTGGTGTCCGTGCTGTGTAGCGTGTGTCCGTGTGCGCATGATGTGTGACGTGTGTGTCCATGGTGTGTGTCCGCGGTGTGTGGCGTGTGTCCGTGCTGTGTGGCGTGTGTGCCCGTGTGGTGTCCGTGCTGTGTAGTGTGTGTCCGTGTGCGCATGATGTGTGACGTGTGTGTCCATGGTGTGTGTCCGCGGTGTGTGGCGTGTGTCCATGCTGTGTGGCGTGTGTGTCCGTGTGTGTCCGCGGTGTGTGACCTGTGTGTCCGTGCTGTGTGGCGTGTGTGTCCGTGTGTGTCCGCGGTGTGTGGCGTGTGTGTCCGTGTGTGTCCGCGGTGTGTGGCGTGTGTCCATGCTGTGTGGCGTGTGTGTCCGTGTGTGTCCGCGGTGTGTGGCGTGTCCGTGCTGTGTGGCGTGTGTGTCCGTGTGTGTCCGCGGTGTGTGGCGTGTGTCCGTGCTGTGTGGCGTGTGTGTCCGCGGTGTGTGGCGTGTGTCCGTGCTGTGTGGCGTGTGTGTCCGTGTGTGTCCGCGGTGTGTGGCGTGTGTGCGACACGTGTCGAGGCATGAGGCGCACTTACAAAGAGTTGTGTGGTGCCAGGAAAGCGGAGCAGCCCCCAGGGATCAAGGAGGGAGCCGTAGTGAGAGCTCAACGGACTAAGAGTCTGGAGGGGGAGGGGGAGCTGGGACTGAGGTGCCCGGGGGTCCCTGAGGGAGCAGACACACGTGGAGCCTGAGCTCCCCTAGCAGGAAGCTGCCAAGCCGCGTCCAGGAGGAGCTGCCGGAGACGGGGACGGGGGAGACAGGGACGGGAGGCCCCCGCCAGGCGCGGAGACCCGGGGGGCTCGAGGCGCAGGCGTGAGAGCCGGGAGCACTGGCGGCCAGTGACCGGGGACTCCTGTGGGTGCAGGTGGCCCCACGACTCGATATACTGGAAATTACTGAGCTGGGCATCTTAAAGGGTAAATCTTTTGTTTAAAGATTTATTGATGCACACAAACTGGGGTGCAGGCCAGAGGTGCAGGGGTCAGATGATTCCCCGAGACAGAGCGGGGAGCAGAGCAGGCAGATCCACCGAAACACTGCTGAGGGGCAGCGGGAGACAGGAGGGGTCCGCTGTGCCCCGGGGGTCCCTCCCTGGCCGGGGATGGGCCTCAGTGGCTGTGACAGCTTGCTTAGAGCCTGAGACTTGGCCCTGCAGGGGGAGCTGCAGAGGGCGAGGCTTGTGGTCTGGTGACCCCACCACCAGCAAAGACAGGGGTGGGGGGTGCAGCTAGGCGCCTGGAAGAACCGAAAAGAACTTTTAGCTGAGCACAAACAGCAATATATTCATATTTTGTTCTTGGAAAGAAAGACGAATCGTGTAAAGAAACCTGTGATTTCTATGTTAATTTAAAAAAAAATTAATTCTGGGCCCTCCCTGGCGGCGCAAGGGATTAAAGCGCAGCGCTGTGAAGCCGTCCACAGCCCCCGCGGCACGAGTTTGGTCTCCGGCCAGGGAGGGACCCCGGGGCGCAGCAGACCCCTCCTGTCTCCCCGCTGGCCCCTCAGCAGCGGACCTCGTCCATCGGCCTATTCTGCTCCCCACTGTCTCTGGGGAACCCTCTCGATCCCCAGCACCTCTTACCTACACCCCAGCTCTTCTACGCAAAAGTAAATAAAATCTAAAAAAAAGAAACAACTAGACACTGACCGCAGGCCAGCAGGTGAGGGGCAGTGAGGCTGGACACAGGGCTGCTGTTGCGGGGACCTGAGAGTGCTGCTTGGCTTTTACACAAGAGGCTACAATAAAGGCCCCCTCGTCCCTGCAGGTAGCACCCTCACGCCTCTTCTCCCCACCTCCCTCTGCAGAACTTACTGGAAGGTTACTGTTGACCCCAAACAAAAGCCACCCCTTAGTCCAAAGGGGTTTATCTGAAAACAAACAGCAAGTCATGGTGAGACCCACGTGCATGTCCCCAAATCCCAGGGCAACCCCCGAATAACCCCAGGAGGACCCCTCCGCCCCACCCCAGAGGAACAGCCCCCCAAGAGCAGGCCTGTGGGTCCCGGGGGTGCCCTGCTCCTGACCGCCCCAGCAGCCTTGGGAATGTTAATGTCCGCAGCAGAAAGGTGAAACTGGGTGTCTTCCCCCAACCCACGCCGCTCGGGGCTGCCCCCCTCTGGGAGCCGCCTGGACTTCCTGGGTGGGTCGCCCGGCCTGGGGCCCACTGCCTGTGCTTCCCTTGCAGGGTGCAGAACTGGAGTTTCCTGAAGGACTACGACCCCGTGGTAAGGCCCCGCACCCCCACCCGCCCTTACCCGCGTGGCGGGGTGTCCCAACCCCCTGAGGTAGCGCACGGCCTCTCCAGCTCAGGGACTCGGGTTGGGTCTGCAGAAACACCCCTGCTTGGGGGGGGCGGAGCCCCAGGAAAGGTTTGGTGAAACTGTGCACTCCCCCTTAACGTCGCTCCAGCCCCGTCACTCCCCCAGAACTGAAGGGACTACCCAGCGTCCCCCTGCACCCCCTTAAAATCCTTCAATAAACCTGCACTTTTAGGAGGGCTTGGGCGTCTCCCCTAAGCCTCCTCACCTCCACCCCGCTCCCTGCAGTTCCCGGCCGAAATCCCCCCATCTGGTCTGCCCACGGACCCACTCGATCCCCAAGACCTGCTCAGCTGCCCTGAGCGGCGTGACTGGGTCACCCCCGCCCCTGCTGGCCAGCCCCCCCTTGCAGAGAGCCTCACGGCCCCGCTGCTTCCAAGGGAGGACGAGGAGGCTGCCTCGCGGCTCGCCCATGAAACTCAACGCTCAGGGCACGTGGCTGCGCCTGCACGTGGCAGGGAGACTCTGGCTGTGGGACGGCGCTCAGAGACCAGAGCGGGGCCAGTGGCCGCCAGCCTGCTGGGAGGGCGCCGGCTGGGGGGCCGGGGGCCCCCGGCCTGGAGAGGTCGGCTCCTGGGACCGGAGAGCTGCGCGGCTCCGATCCGGTTTCCCAGCGGCGCTGGTGGCCGGAGCTCGGGCGCGTCCTGCCCAACGCTGGGCCCCTGCCCAGGCTGAGCTGGCGGGGCGCGGGGCGAGGGCGCCCCACGGGGCAGACTCTGGCCTTTCCCTTCCGGGTTTCTGTGGCTCTGGCTGGAGAGCACAGGACAGGCCTGCCCCTGAGCTGGGGCTCCCTGCCCCTCGCCCCTCTCAGAGTCCCCCCAGCTCTCTCCCCCTCCGTAGTAAGACAGCGGATCCTGGTTAAGGCGAACCCCCAGGACACTGCAAGCCCCCCGGACGCCAGCAGCGTCCCTGCTGCTCTTGAGTTCACACATGCGGACGCATTATCTGCTTGGGGACAGACGGTCCCGCCCTTCTCGCACCTCCAGCCTCAGAGTCCTCTGCCCCCCAGGGCTCCCGTGCTTTCTAATCCACTCGTTTCCCCTGCACCGCGTTTCCCCTGCACCGAGCCGCTCCAGCAGTCCCCTCACAGCTGGGCCGCCAGTGTCCGAGCGCCATCCTCCCCACACCCCAGACTGGGGCCGACCCAAAGGGCTACAGCGGAAGAATAAGGCAGGAAGGCTCGTCCCTCCCCGGGGAAAGCGGCAGCTGGGAGAAGTCAGGCTGCTGCTGCCTGCACAGAGACACCTGCACACCC